TTCAAAAGTGATATCATATTTCATACACTTAAGAATCGTATGCACGAAGAGAAGGATATTGTCCGCAAACTGACTGGTATTATGCAGTTTGATATCACCAAAGATGACACAAAATCCGTGTGGAGTATGTTTAAAGCATTTACTAAACAGTATATATTGATTAATATTATAATTAAAATTTATAATTATAGCGATTGATTTCACTAAACCATTGGGTGATAACGTATATCGGGGAACATCTCAAGAAAAACCCGTTTGTATACTATCTATGGATGACGAAGATTTTGCCAAAATGATGGTCAATAAGTTTAATCCACAAAAGGTCTGCAATCGTACTGCAATTTTAATATTATTGTATACTATAATCAATATATTTTAATTATACTGAATATATTAATTGCAGGCATTTATGATGGGAAAGATGAAAGTGAAGGGACAGATACTCTCCATCTATAAGTTGTTCACCGTTTGGGTCGAAGCGGCGTTTAAGAAGAAAAGGGCTCCCGAAGTGCCATTTATTGAAGAGATTTTGTTTAAAAATGTTAGTTTTATTTTGTTTGTTATTTTTAGTTTACTAATTACTAATTAACTCATTTTGTTTTAAAGGATTTAATTGCTGGCCTTAAGAGTGAGATAATGGTGTTTCGACTCATTCAACGATTGGTTAAATATCCGCAATTGTGTGAAGAAGTCGGAGGTTTCTATTACTTTGATATCACCAAAGATGGCAAAGTTGTGTCCAAATGGAGTCAGTTTTATGCAAATTATAAAAATTAAATTTATTATAAATTATTCAAATATTTTCTAATTAGAGCTCGACTTCACAGCAAACAAAATATGCGGAGTATTTACTCGACTCCCGATTGAAAGTCATTTAGTCTCAGATCCACTGATTATTATTGAAGACGAAGACTTTGCACTCATTTCTCTCAACCAATTGAATATTGAAAAGGTATTCGTTTTAATATTTATTCAGAATTTTTATTTAAAAAACTTTCTAAACTTATTTATATTTAAATGATTAGGCGATGGCATCGAAACGAATTAAATGTGACCATAAATTAGTGCCCAAATTAGTGAAGATTTTCCAATCGCCTCTCATTCAAAGCAAATTATAATGTGTTTATAATTTGTTTGATTTTAATTGAATTTTTCAATTCATTTCTGCAATTTTAAAATTCCAATAAATTTTGTTAAATATCTATTTCTATAATATTTTATTTTGAACTTTTGATTAAATTTGTTTTATACAGAAATAGTTTAATAAACATTTAAATAAATTTTTAATTATAATTTGTATTTAAAATATTTATATAATTGTTGCAAATCTTAAATTTTATGTAAAGTCATTATTGAGAGCTTTAATAAAAATACAAATTATTGAAATATTTTATTTTATTAAAGAATAGCTAAATTATAACTAAACAATAATTGTTGAGAGTATTATAACTCTAATGTGTTTGTGTTTCACATCAAATATCACTTAATTGTGTATTTTTGAAATAAATAGCCAAAAATGCCGTCAAATTAATTTAAATATCTTACAATCAAAAGAGATTGGTTGAACTATACCATTATAAAAGTTTATTACTGTATATTTTAAATATACAAGTACAGTCGACAATGGATATAATATACACTCAATAGAATCCCTAATTCATTATTGTCCCTTATTGTACTTTACCAGTATTATAATTTATAATAGACAGTATGTGGTATTTTTATATGCAATTTAGACATTATATTGACAAACATTAAACTTATTTTGATGCTATAATTCTCAATAAACAATATTCATAATAATAACATTAATTTTGTCATTACTTTTATAAAAGATTCAATATATTGAACATTAATAAACAATATTTTACAATACTAAGAATAATTCTATATATTCTGTTATAGACTAACTTATATTTGTTTTAAAAGCTTATGAGCAAAAAACAAAGTCAAACTTTAAAATATAAGAAGGATTTTGAAAAAATATAATTTTTTTAAAAATGTCTAAAGTATCGTCGATTGAATTGTCAAATAAAGAGTTGAATGCGACTAAATTGTCAGACAAAGAGCTAAACCCGATTGAATTCAATGCCTTAAGCGTTGGCCAGAAAGACATTAATAAGATATGGACAACGGAGACAATTGTGGAACAATTACGAAAGATCGAGGTCTGGGGCAATAGATTTGGTGCTAATTTAGTACAGCGTTCGGAGAAATACAAAACTCAAAAGAAGTCACCGATTGTCTTAATTATTAAAATCTTTTTATATGTCTTCGCTGTAAAAACACTTGTTTGTCAGATATTGATTGACAAGACATCCACTCATTTGCTGTTAATTTTTGGTGATTTGTCACAATTCTATGGAAGTGCTGTCAATCGCCTTTACTTTAACTCATTTCTAATAAGTTGGGGCTTTTTGGCCGCATTTGTCTACTCACTGATATCCGGGTATAGTTTATATTACATTCTTATATTTTAAATGTATGTTTCAGTAAAATAATAATTACATTATCATTAAAAAGAGAGGACAAGAAAGAGCGAGAATGGGTTTTGAGATTTGACGAGAACTGGAGGAACACATACTTCAGAAGTCCTAACGTTGAGAAGAGAATTGTCGATAATTTGATGAAGAATGCGTCCACAAGTGTTAAAGCAATGAAGCTATCGGTCGCTTTCTATGTCTTATTTGTGACAGTCCTCAGTATCATTGGCGGTGTCCGACACGTCCCCGCATTTAGTAACCACTCGATTGTATTATATATCGGATGGTCTGTCGTGTATATAATTTGGTGTGCGATGGCATCGATGGTTAACATGACAGCCCTATTTCAGTTCGTTTTACTCACACGAGCCATAATCATACGGTTCAGCGAAGTTAATATCGATTTTGAGTTCTCCATCCGAAACAAACCTCCGTCCGAGTCGTGGGTATTGTCCAAACTCTTTGAGAAGCATTACACGGT